ATTTTTTTTCTTTTATTGTTAACCCCCCTGTCAATGTTTTCAATTATGTCTTTGAGAGGTTGAGAGAGAGGGCACTAATCATGGTTTTTTGGAAGAAAAGATATAAAAAAAAAATTGCAGGTTTTTGAACATCTGGGGACATACCCGATCGAGTATAACCTTATACTCGGTCGGGTATGAGCAAAAAGAAAAGGGACCGGGAACTACTCGATCGAGGGAGCATTCAAAAATTGAAAAATAAGCAATACCCGATCGGGTATCACTTTTACACCCGGTCGGGTATTGCTAGAATTGCTAAAATTGAAGGGGACTGACTCCCACACTCGACCGAGTACCCGCTTCAAAAATGGAAAAAAAGCATATACCCGATCGAGTATGGAGGAATACTCGACCGGGTACAGGAGACAGGCTGCTCACAAAGTTCATTTTCTAAGCATACTCGACCGGGTAACCCCACCCTACCCGATCGAGTACAGGAGGCAGGCCGCTCAAAAACTGCACTTTCCAGCCATACCCGACCGAGTACCAGCACATACTCGATCGGGTATACGGGTCTTATAACCCCAAATCAGCCCCAAAACACTTCATCTTCCCCAAATTCCCAACCCTATCTCGAACAAAAAACGCCCAAACCCCATTTTTACACCTTCTCTCTACCATATCTCTTCCAAATCTTCACCAAATCCACCCATTCCAACGCCAAAACACTCCTCTCATCCTCCTCTACACATTCATACCCACCAATCCCATTCTCCCCCAACTTTCAGAGGTACGAAAAACCCTACCCCCACCATTTCAATTTCGGTTTTCAAAGGCCAAATTCACTTCAAATGGCTCCAAGGAAAGAGAAAGGGCAAAGCTCAAGCACTAGGACAATCATCCCGGGCTACGAGGACATCCTTTTCGTGGACAACGAACAACGCACACGCTTCATGTCCACAATTGAAAGGCAAGTCAAACCTTCCCGCTTTTTATGCCTTGATGCTCTAAAGGAATTAGGAGTATACACAATAATGAAGAAATTTTTTCATGAGTTGCATATGGATAAAATTTTCAAAATGAAATACAACTCAAATGAAAAAATTATCTATGAATTCCTAAGCTCGGTGCACTTTGAGAACAATGAGGAGGACTTTAGAGATGATAAACTCAGGTTTCGATTGTTTAATCACAATCACACCATCACGAAACTTGAGTTTGCCGAACACTTTGGTATTCCGGTCCCGTACCAAAAGTCTATATCCGACAATACCGCCTTCGGCCACACCCTAGGGACCAAGATGACCGGGGAGACCAAATTTAGCTCCTCCCAACTATACATTAGTCATGTCCAACATCCAGTCCTACGCCTCTTTTTGAAATTCCTTGCCAACTCCTTGCTTGGACGTCCCAACAACCATCATACAAGGATGGGGGATGTATGCCTCATCTCGGTTGCCTTATTCCGTATCCACGTGGATTTTAACCTCTGTAATCTCATGTGGGCTCATCTAAAGAAGGAAAGTGTGGCAAAGGGTGCTATCGTAGTGGGCGGGGTGATTATGCACTTGGCCACAAAGTTCGGGTATACGGATGACTCTCCTATACCCGACTACTGTTTAATGAACATATCTTGGCTAGGCCACTCGGGCTGTACATCTTTTTCACACACCGTTTATGGTGAAGAAAGGCCCAAAAATATGTACAACTGGCACATCCACCCAAAACCCCTCAAATACTTCCTCTTGCCCAACCCAGAACCCCCCCAACTCCACTTCAAAACAGGCAGACCGGATCAACATTACCTCTTCCCAAACGCCCTCCCACCACATCTTCAAGAACCGGAACAGGAACTCCCCCAAAACCAACCCGATGACGAGCCCTATGAGCAACTCCATAGCCATCCAACCATGAGTCATGATTTCCCAGAACAAAGCCAAAACCCTCCACCACCCGACTTCTTTCAACAACTTCTGGAGGGTCAACAACAACTTCTTACGGGAATAGCCCAAATGGACAACCGGCTCAACCGATTAGAGGAAGAGCAAAGAGCCGGTTTTCAAAGATTGGAGGATGAGCAAAGGGCCGGCTTTCAACGTTTGGAGGAGCTCCGGGAGGCCGATAGACACCGGTATGAGGAAGACCAACATAGGTTCTACGGGCCTATGTACTCGTTTATGGCACAGCAGGGATCCTTCCATACCATGGCGAACCCTCCTCCACCACCCTCATGGTATGACCCCACTCATTGGGGTAACTTTGGAGGATCTGGCTCCGGTGGTGGAGGGTACGACGGCGGAGATGGCGGGGACACTTACATGGGAGATGGTGGCCAAGGGAGCGGCTTTGGAGGGAGCTACTACGGAGGAGAAGGCGGGCACTAGGGACAGTGCTTGATTCAAGTGCGGGGGAGACACTCATGATGGTATGTAATTTTCATTTCTACCTAGCACTGTGCATGTAATTCTTTTGAACTTTTACACAAAAAAAAATAAAGAAAAAAATAAACAAAAGAAAATAAATGCTGGTTAGGTTGAAAACCCAACAAAATGGGCAATCTAAGCAAAAAAGGCTTATAAAAAAATGAGTGAGTTGGAGAGAATGGAAAATGAAAAGAGGTGCTAGGATGAAAACCTGAAAAGGCTCCTAGGCAAAATGAGAGATATGAGAGAAATGTTTGTTCTTGCAGGCACTCATTGTATCCTTATGAAGAATATGAAGATTCAAGATAAAGAAGAAGAGAGGAGGAGAAAAGAAGACAACACTAGGAGGCCATTAAACCCAAGATGCTCTTTTGTAATTTGAGTTTAAAACTCACTTTTCTTTGTAATCCTTGGTGGTCTTTGTGTTTGTATTATATTTTTGTTGAACTGTGGAACTTTTGGACAAACATTGACACTTGTAAACATTTGATCTTACTCGAGACGAGTAAAGGTTTAAGTGTGGGGGAGTTGATACGTTCGTAATTTCCATTTCTATGTTTATGTTTTTAATTAGTTTTGCTTGACTTTTACTTTGGAAATTACACACTTTTGGTGTAATAGATTAGATTGTTAAATTCTTGTAAATAGGTTAGATTAGATATATTCTGAGCTTAAGCAGGTTTTGTTCACCCAAAGTACAGTTGGTGAACCCAAAAAGTGAAGAGAAGGTGCAAAAGTTCAAAGACAAAAGAAGATCCTGAATTTTGGTCTATACTCGGTCGAGTTTTAGCTATACTCGATCGGGTATTAGGTTGGAACTTCAAATCAGATCAGATCCGAAGACAAAGGAACATGCAGGGAAGATTTTGGCCACGATTCTATGTCTATACCCGATCGGGTAGACCGACATACCCGATCGGGTATGCCTTTAAATTGCAAACGAAGATCGGTCGAGTATAGCCCGAATACCACTTTCTAAGCATACTCGACCGGGTATTCATATATACTCGATCGGGTATACACTTAGAAAATAGCCTAAAACCGGTCGAGTATGCCTCGGATCGGGTGTTACACACATACTCGATCGGGTACCATGTATATACCCGATCGAGTACCCGAATCCCATCCCAAAAACCTATAAATACACCTCCTTTCCTTCACAAAAAGATATCCAATCCCTTATACATCTAAGCTCAGTATAGAATAGCTCTTTCTTTATATTTTTTTATCATGTTTAGTCTCCAAATGAGGAGCTAAACTCTTCCATCTTGGTTTTGCTACTTTGAAGCTTAATGAATTTGTAAGTTGTGAGTTATTTTCTTTAATCTTCTTCCTTGAATATTAATTCTTTCTTTCAAAATACTATCTCTATATCAAAGTTGGGGAGTGTTACTAAGATGACAATTAGTTAACATCTTGACATTGGTTATAGTAATAGCTATTTCTTCCTCTATGATAATATTGGGGAGTGTTACTAAGATGACAATTAGTCAACATCTTGATATTAATCATAGTAGGATCCATATATTTTAATATTCTTCCTTGAGTATTAATTAATTCTTATTCATATTTCATGTTAATATCTTAAACATTACTTAAAGTATCAACTAGTATTGTTTCTCATATTAATTATTACTAGAATCAATCGGTTAATACGCTTGTTATTAATCCGGTTCTTTCAACGGTAGTAAACTTGGAATATTAATGCATGCATCTCATGGTTAATATGTCAAGGGGAATTAATTATATTGATTAAACCAATAAACCGCTTGTGTTGAGGTTATCAATCTCAATCGTTTTCATCTTAAGTTTATTGCTACAATCAAGTTAATATACGGCGCTTGTTCTATATTGACTCGATAGTAAGTTTTATTAATGAACGCATCTCGTTATTAATAACTACCCTCGATGAACTGGATATACTCCTCGATTGAGTATTCGAGAGGAAGATAGTTAAAGATATAACCGGGATCGACGAACATTTCATTAAGTGGATAAAAGCAAAACCAAGTCTTCATCTCATTGAATTAAACTCATATATGTTGTTTATCTTAGTGTTGTTAAAACAAACAAATCTAAACCCCCCTTTGTTACTACTTTTATAAAAGAAAAGTATTCCTTTCCCTGTGGATACGAACCTTACCACACTATACTACGTATTAGTGTCGTATTGATTAATTATTTTGAGTGCACCTAACGACGAGTGCACGTCAATTAATCTTACTTGGTAATCAATAAATATTAATTGAGAATAACAAAAATGACACTATCTAACCTTGTCTCGATTAAGATATCATTTCATATAAAAGAATTATATGCACAAATTAATCATTAAAAGGTTATTCCAGAATTAATTCATATTTATATATCTTGAATGGTCATAATATCTTGTTAGAAACCGCTTATGACTTGTGAGACTTGAAATAAGTTTCTAGATCACCGTCAATAATATATAAATCTACATGGTCACACATGAAAGTGATATGAATATTCTATTCACACCCACATAGTTACTAATTACAAATTCACCCACAGTCACAGAATTAAAATTTAATAAATATTACCTCCGTCCCGTTATGTAGCGGAACGGATGGAGTATTTCTTTTTAAATATCTATTTTACCTAACTCCTCCATCCATACGCATACAAACTTCACTAGTTCATCTAGCGTTTGAAGATGGCGGGCCACGGGACAATCGGTTGAGAAGATCCGATGACCAAAATTGGGATTGTCTCTTCGTCTTTATTTTCTACGGATTTTGCTTCTCCAGCAAGAACACGATCAGAAACATCGGAGCTAGAAAGTGAAGCCGTGAAGGTATATCTCAATTAAGATAGTAAATTACCAATTGGAGTTTGTGAGTTTGTCCCATCCTCCTGGATTGTTAACCATGATACTAGAAATTATAAAATTAAATCGCAAAAGATTAAGACCAATCAATCCTCAAATGTGAAGCTAATGATTTGAAGAAAATCAGAGAAGAGTAAATGAAAAAAATGAAATCAGGGGTTTCATAAGATGAGCAGGTGAATGGCTATGATCTGGCTGGCCAATTTCTTTCTCTTCCATGCCTCTGCGTCGTTCTCTCTACATCTCCACACATAATCCGTCAAAGACCACAATTAAGGGGTAAATAAAAAAGATTTGAAATAGTTTTTGATGGTTATTACGGGGAATAACTAGAGAGAAGTCAGAGCAAGTAAGTAGAGAGTATATTAGAAAGTGTATTTAGCCTTTTTAGCGTGGTTTACAACGGGGAAATGGGGTGCTATTTATAATAGCAATAAATGCCAGACAGGGACACGTGTCAAGCATCCATTGGCCGAGGGGTCACCTCAACTGGTTGGCGCTGGCAACCCCATGTGGCCGCATTTAATGCGGTTGTTGGATGTGACGTCGTACTTGGTACGGTGATCTATACGCATGTGGAGCGGATATTATGTCGGAAAAGGTGCCCTCGGCCGTAGATGATTAGCCGAGGGCTCTGAGTACCGGGGACCTCCTTAGTGCCGAGGGCTCTAGGTGCCGAGGGCTACTGATTTTCACCGTTTTCTCCCAGTAACCTTGTCTTCCTGTTTTGACCCTTCTGTGACATTCAGAGCCTTCGGCCAGGGTGCCGAAGGCACCCCTGGTGCGCATTTTGGGCTACTTGGTACTCTGGGCGCCGTGATTTGGGCCTGTTGTGCTTCCTGGGCCTATTGGGCCTTTATTTTAGTAGTAGGAGTCTGTGGGCCGGGGGTTCCCGGGCCATATACTCCATCAGGAGTCCCTCACTCCTTTTGCCGAAAGGTACTTGAGGGAAAAGGAGTAATTGTGTTTGTCCTCTGTCGTTGTTCCGTTGTAGTTTGTAGAGTTGTGGGTAGTTTGCTGTTTGTTTATTCTGCCGAGGGCAGTCCCTTAGTTACCCACATGTCGGGACTTGAGGGGGCATGTTTGCTGTTTGCGGGAGTTTTTAGCATTTTGTATTTTTGTGATTTTTCCCGAGGGGGTCCTCCAGTCCCCCACTCCTTGAGGCACTTGCAGAGTGGTGAAAAGGAGTAGAGTAATCATGTTGCTGTATTGGGCCGAAGGCTGACGCTTTTCGTTTCATTTTTGGGGGGGTGCCTCGTTAAAAACCCCGTTAGGAAAAACCCTGTGGGAAAAAATCCTAACGAGGGAAAAAGAGTGCACCGAATTCCCCCAACGATGAATCGAAAATGTGAAGCCCTCGTTTCTGAGGGCGTATGTGTTGATTAGCTGGAGGCGTGCTATTGATATCCTCGGAGGTGCCGAAGGGGAGTCCCTCAATCTGGGGATCGAGGGCGTGATGAATGTGAGTAGCAGTTGAAGTGTTACCGGGGGGTCCCCTGTTTGTTGATCAGTTGGTGAGGAGAATATCCGAGGGCTCCCGTTACCTGTGCGCCGTAGGCTATCCGTCAATGAGGTGTACCTCCCGGGGGCTACCTGGTCCTCAAACTGCTGAGGGGGGAATCCCCGAGGGGTGTGCCTGTTGTGAAGCAGTGGGCTTCTGAAGGAGTGAGCCCGAAGGCATTTGTCATGTAGTATGAGGGGCATAAACCGGGAGCATGTCTGGGTAAGTGCACCCGGGGGCTCTCTTGATGAAGTGGAGTGAGGTAAAAAGCCCGGGGGCTAGTTCCTAGGTTGATGAAGGAGTGGTCTTCTAAATGTAGCCGGAGGCTCCCAGAATATAGCCGTTGTGATTATAGCCGTTGGAATACCTAACGTCAAAATATAGCCGTTGGGGGGCTTCCACGTGGTGCGTGCTCGTTGGCTGCCCGTGGGCGGGTGTCACCGATTGGGCAACGCGTCGGTTGGCAATGGTGATTTTGTACCGGAGGCCCGGTATTCAGGCCCAAGCCCGGATTTGGGCGCCTATAAATACCCCATGGCCGGGCATCACTTCTCTTGTGCGATATCATTGTAGCGAAGCTCTGCCGGATTTTTCCTAGAGAGAGAAACACTTGCCCTCGATCTAACTCCTGTTCCAAGGTCAGTTCCCACCTGCTTTTTTCCTCTCTTAGTTAGCTGTGCCCTGTGTCCTTAGGTTTAGGAGTTAGAACTTAGAACACTTAGTATTTTCCGAGCCCTCGACCCAGTGGAAAGATGTCTTCTCAGAGTGATTCTCAGGACATATCGAGGGATCCCTCGATGGAAGAGGAGAGCTTCTCGGATGTGGGGTCCTCGAGCGAGCAACCCTCGGCTCAGGAGGATGTCGCGATGGAAATGGAGGTGCAGAAGGAGTTGGTGGCTGAAGTTGAAGCCGAGGGCTTCGAGCAAGAGGCGGAGGATGAAGAGCTTGCCCTCGCCGTACAAGTTGCAGAGGAGGAGGAAGAGAGGGAGAGGATGACGGTGACAGTGGCTGCCCCCCCCCCCCCCCCCCCCCCCCCCCCCGCGGTTCTGGTGAGGCAGGGAGCTCTCGGCCCCTTAACCCGACGCCGATAAGAGTGGCCCCCGGGAATAAACAGGAGAAGAAGAAAGTTGCTCCCAAGAAGAAGTGTGTTGCTGCTGATCAAGGAAAGCCCATCGATGTGCCCGAGGGGTATTCCTGGCTGAATACTGCTGCCCTCGAGATAGGGTCGAAGGCTGACCGGGAAGATCTGTACGTGACTCAGCTGCACGTGGGGCCTTCGGTTGTGGTGGTGGCGCCAGGTCCTGATGATGTGCTCTCCCGGGCTCCCGAGGGTTGCATCGCCGCGCACATCCTGTCGGTATCAATGGGGCTCCGGTTCCCCCTACACCCATTCCTTCGGGAATACCTTCGGTATGTGGGTTTGGTCCCCTGCCAGTTGACGCCCAATAGCCACTCCTACGTGGTGGGCTTTCTGAATCTCTGCCGGTCCCGAGGGGTGACCCCCAGCCTGGACTTGTTTTTCCAGAGCTTCAATATCTGCCGAGGGGGTCACGCGAATGTCGAGGGTTTCGCCAATCTGCAGCAGATAGCCTGGTGGAAACTATTCACAGAAGCACCCTCGTCCAATAAAGGCTGGAAGGAGCAGTGGTGCTATGTCAGAATTGCTGAGAGCCCATTTCCGATGGAACTTCGGGATCGCTTCCGTCGGCATTCGAAGGTTGGGAACGCTGCCCTGGAGAAGGATGGCTTGATAATAGCCAAGATCCCGGAGGGTCGTACGAAGCAAGTGTCCATTAAGGACTTCACTGCTGACAAGGAGCTTTTCGCCCTCGGCTTCCGCAGATATCGCTTCCTCGGCGAGACAAACGAGAAGCATCCTGTGTTGGACAAGGCTCTCGAGGGAGAAGGAGGTAGTTGCCGAGGGCTCCTTATTTTGTACTTAGGATTTTCCCCTCTTTTTTTTGCGCTTTCTTGCCCTTCGGTCTAACCCTTTTTTTTGGCAGGTGTGAATATGGACGCCGGGAAGCTCTTCGCTCTGAAGAAAAAGAAGGGCAATGCCCAAGCCCAAAAGAAGGACCCCTCGGTCCAGCAGCCTGTGGAAGCCTTCTTTCAGAAGGAGACTCCGGAGCCCTCTGCTGCGGAGGTAGTTATCGGGGTGGCGGAGGGGGCCACAAAAAAGAAGAAGGGCAGCAAGGCGGTTGAGCCCCCTGCCAAGAAGCAGAGGGGTACCGGGGCACTGTTGGCCAGGATGCCCCCTTGGTGATCATTGAGGATCGCCCTTCTCTGGATCCCCTGGTTGGTGCTGCGGCGACAGCTCGGCCCGATCTCCCCTTGGGAAGCCTCCCCCGGGAGATTCTGCAGCTTTCCTTGGCCCCGGGGGCTTCTGTGCTACATGGCTCAGCAGAGCCGAAGGCCTTCCTGAGGGGGATCACCTCGGCGATGGACAAGGTCGCCCTCTCGACTTATGATGATGCGGCCCTCGAGAACAAGATCCTTCGATCTTCGTTAGCTGTAAGTTTCCTCCTTCGCTTTGTGTTTTAACCTTTAATGCGTTGTCCATACTAATCTAACCCCTCCGTCTGTTGTCTATCAGGCTTGTGTAGCCCTTGGGGAGAACGCTCAAAGACTCAAGCAATGGCGCCTTCAGAAAGCGGAGCAGGGTCGGGAAATGAAGGAGCTTATCCTGAAGAACTCTGATGCTGTGAAGCAGATGACCTCGCTGGAGGAAGATCTCCGGAAGGCTGCCGAGGGTGCTGAGCTGAAGGTCAAGGCTGCTGTGGAGGAGGCCAGGCTCGAGGCCGAGAGGGCCGCCAAGAAAGCTGCCGAGGAGGCATAGCTCGCCAAGGCCGAGGCCGTCGCCAAAGCCCGAGAGGAGGCTGTTGCCGTGTTTGTGGCCGAGGGCTGGAAAACCGAAGACAGGCGGCAGTGGGTGGCCTCGGTAGTGGAGTCTTCGGTCGACGACTGGGTGAAGGGCCCCCGGGCCGACTGGATGGCAAAGAGGGGCGACAGCTACTACCAGGGGGCGAGTTCTTCACCCAACATCTGGTGTACCGGAGGCTCGCCAGGCATTTCAAAGTCCCCCTCGAGGACTTCGACCCCTCGGCGTACGGCCTTCCTGCTTTGCAGCCAGATGTAAGAAACCCCCTCCCCCCGGGCGAAGAGAGGCCTGTGATCCACGACTCCATGATGATGGGGGGATCTCGTGATGGTGATGCCGAGGCTGCCATCGGGGAGGAGGTCACCTCGAAGCCTGCCGAGGAGGCAACAACTGAATGAAACATTTGTACCTAGTAGCTTTTGAACACCTCTTTTTCTTTGTATGTAATGAATATTGTACGCCCTCGGCCTCGGCCCATTTGTAATATACACTTGAATTTTCCTTTCCTTTGATGAATGAATGCTTACCTTCGGGCTTTTTGTATATAATTCGTTCCCTTTAATTGTTTTTCTTTGGATGTATGCCCTCGTCTTTTCTGTATGTACGCCTTCGCCTTTTCTGTATGTGTGTATGTTAGGACTTAGAAATTTTCCCTCCAAGTACAGTGTCTTTTGTAGCCCTCGGCTACTAGGCCTATTTAGTCATCTGAACATTTCGCCGAGGGCCCAACGTTCAGGACTTAGAAATTTTCTAAGTGTTGTTCATCTGTTGGCCCCCGGCTAATTCCTTCCCTCTGGTTCTGTGTAGCCTTCATGAGATAACCGGAAGCGAGGTGTTTAGGACTTAGAAAAAAAATTCTAAGTGTTTGAATACAGTCTAGCCTCCGGTAATTGGGTACCCTTCGCTGACTGGATATATGACCGAGGGCCCAGAAATAGTTAGGACTTAGAAAATATTTCTAAGTGTAGTTTCATCAAGCCTTTGACTGTGCGGCCACTCTAGCTGCATGGAGATTTGACTGAGGGTCAAAAACATTTGGGACTTAGAAAATTTTCTAAGTGTAGTTTGTATGAGGGAGGAGCCTTCGGGTGAATTTGAGGACCTTGTCTCAGATGCACCTTCGGCTGGCTGGTGGGCCCACAGGGGGCAAAGTATCTAGGACTTAGATTATTTCCTCTAAGTATTTCCTGCTGCTGGCCTTCGGGAGGGCACCCTTCGGCTGTATACGTTGTAGGTTTAGGATAGTTTCCTTTGCCTTGTAATGTTGGCTTGTGGCAACAAAAAGCCTTCGGCCGTTGTTACGTCCCCACAGTTTGACTTAGGAAATTTTGTAATCCTAGTCCATCATGAAAAGACAGACTCCCTCGGGCCCTGTCTGGGTGTGTCCCCTCGGTTTCTAGTGAGGTGCCGGAGGTGATTCTTGATTTGATTTGGCCAACATCTGATAGCTTTGTCATATAGTAGCCTTCGGTAACGTTTTGAGCTGTTGTTGGGTGAGACCGTCATGTTTTGTAAGATTTGAGCCTCCGGTTTAGATATAGCCGGAGGTAATCATGGAGTGGACTTAGCCATTTGTTGATGATGTCTGTTGTGAATGGTATCCTTGGTATTCATGAGCTTCCAGGTACCGAAGGCGTTCCCATGGTGAGCCCTCGGTATGTTTCCGTGAATTGTTGGAGTGATGTACTCATTGATTTCTCGCCGAGTCTACTCCCCCTCACCACCCCATTTTTTTTGAGTAGTGACGGGAAGGCTTCAAGAAACTTGGTTTCTTGGTAAGGCTTGGCCTATCGGGAGGTAACAGAATACACCATTAGCTCCCCCCTCGGGTTAATCTTCTGAGTTCCGAGGGGATCGAGGGTCGTTTCCTGGGTACAAGATATGGTGGTCTGTAGCCTGCCTCCCCTCGACGCTAGACATAGCCCGTGGCCTGCCACACCCTTGGGGTAGTGGCGCGGGGAGCGTTTCGATTTGGAAGTCGAATCCTGGACATTTTAGATGCCTGCCAATCCCTTGGGGAAATGGCGCGGAAAGCGTTCCGTTTTTGAAAGTCGAATCCTGGGCATATTTCGTGCCTGTCATACCCTTGGGGTAATGACGCGGAAAGCGTTTCGGGGAAGGGTTTTCATTTGCACACTGGTTGCAAATGGCCGGGGGCACTACGTGCTGCCGGCACCGAGAGGTGGCGCATTCGGTATAGGCGTCCTCGAGGGGTATGGCTTAGAAACAACACTTGGTGTTTGTTTCGGTGTACAGCCCCCGGTACTTGGTACCGAGGGGTCTTCTGTGGAAACACTTGGTGTTTCTTCTTTTATTTATCGCAGGTGATTGTGTTGTCTACCCTCGGTACTTGGTACCGAAGGGTCTTCTGTGGAAACACTTGGTGTTTCTTCTCATATGTTGAAAGTTGTCAGTGGAGTGTCCTCCCGGAACCGGGTGCCGAGGGGTCTCCATTTGAGGATAGTTAGTACTTTCTTGTTGTTGTAGGTGATAGTATTGTCTACTCTCGGCACTTGGTGCCGAGGGTTCTTCCTTATGGTAAGGCCTTGGGCCAGGGGGTGATATGAGGGCTTGGCCCTTCGTAAGAATCCTGTTCCATGTTCTTGGTGTCTTCAAAATGCCTTTGTTCTTCGGAATTTTTAGGCCTTGGGCCGTAAAATAATACATTCACTAGTTATGAGGGCTTGGCCGCTCTGATGCTATTGATAAAATTTAACTAAGTGATGTACATTCCAATGTCTAGGGACTTCAGTCCCATTGGGGCGTTTTAGTTTATAAGTTCCTGGTTTGATGATGGCTGTCACGATGTAAGGGCCCTCGAACTTTGGTGCCATCTTCCCGCCCTCGGTCGGTTGGCTAGCTTCCCTTTTTCGGAGGACATAATCCCCCACTTGAAATTCCCGGGAGCGGACCTTGGCGTCAATGTAACTCTTCACTTCGGTAGTTCTCTGCGCGTATGAAGGCTTGCTCTCGGCGTTCTGAAATAAGGTGGAGATCGAGGGCCATATTGGCGTCGTTGGCTTCTGGATCATACTGTGTGACCCTTTGGGTGGGAAGAGTTACCTCAGTGGGGGCCTTAGCTTCAAATCCGTAGCAAAGGGAGAAGGGTGTCTCGCCAGTTGACCGCCGAGGGGTGGTACGGTAGGCCCATAAGATGTTGTGGAGCTCTTCTACCCAGCCACCTCCTTCGGCCTCCAGTTTCTTCTTTAGGCCCTCAAGCAAGGTTCTGTTGGCGTTCTCCACCTGTCCATTGCCCTGGAGGTAGGCGACGGATGAGAAGGTGTGTTTGATACCCCATGCCTCCAGGAGGGCACAGAAGGGGGCTGCCTCAAACTGAGTCCCATTGTCGGAGATGATTTGTTGGGGGACGCCAAACCTTGTGAGGATGTTTTTGAGAACAAAGTGACGGCACCTGGCCTCGGTAATGCTGGCGAGGGGCTCAGCTTCCACCCATTTGGTGAAGTAATCGATGGCGATGATAATGTACCTGTTGTTGGAGGTACCCCTTGGCAGGGGCCCACAAGGTCTATACCCCATCGAGCGAAGGGTATGGATGTGCTGATGGGGGCATAGTTGACCGCTGGCCTGCCGGGGGCTTTCTGGAAGTGTTGGCATGCAGAGCACCTTCGGGCAAGATCCGCACAATCCCGGGCCATTGTGGGCCAGAAGTAGCCCTAGATTATTAGCCTTCGGGACATTGAGAAGGGTCCCTGGTGAGCTGAACAAGTGCCACTGTGCACTTCCTCCATCGCCACTTCGGCTTCATCTTGATGAAGGCACCGAAGTAATGTCCCGTTGTAGGACCTCTTGTAAAGCCTTCCGTCTTCTATAGTGTAGCTGGGAGCCCTCAGTTTTGCTAGCTTGGCGCGGGCCTCAAACTCGGGCAGTTGCCCTGTGGTGATGAAGGCGACAATGTCTGAGATCCAGTCACCCGGTCTTTGTTGGATGTTCATGACGGGGCTAGCGTGTATGCTAGAGAGGTTGAGTTCTTCCACTTTGGCAATCTTCGAGATGTGCTCAGGGGATTCTGCCGAGAGCTTTGATAAAATGTCGGCCTCAGAGTTTTGAGCCCTCAGGATTTGAGTAAGAGAGTGTGCCTCAAATACCTTAAGCAACTCCTTGGCCGCCTCTTTGTATTGTTTCATTCTCCCTTCCTTGGCTTCGTACTCCCCGGAGATTTGGCCGACGACTAACTTGGAGTCGCACTTGACGTGAATTTGTCGGGCCTTCATGTTAGCTGCCAGTCGAAGGCCACAGAGGAGGGCCTCGTATTCGGCCTCATTGTTAGAGACTTTGAAGGAGAAGCGGACTGCATAATAGGCCCGGAAGCCTTCGGGTGAGATGAGAACCACCCCTCCTCCACATGCTTTGACGACGGAGGAGCCGTCGGTGTAGAGGGTCCACCAATCATCTGAAGGGGCCGAGGGCTCCTCGTCCGCGGCTGATCTTGCCGTACATTCCGTCACGAAGTCCGCTGGGGCTTGGCCTTTGATGGCGGGCCTAGGACGGATGTCGATGTTGTATTGGCTCAAGACAACCCATTTTACCATTCGGGAGGAGCTGGTGGGGCTCCTCATCAAGGCGCCGAGGGGTTGGTGAGTGAGGACCTGGACCGGGTGAGCTTGGAAGTAATGGCCCAACTTCTTGACGGTCCACACGATAGCCAACACCGTTTTTTCCACAGGGGAGTAACGGAGCTCCGCTTCCCTGAGGGTCTTGCTAACATAGAAGATGGCATGCTGGATGACATCCTCTTCCCGGATAAGTACTGAGCTGATGGCTGCCGGGCTAACACCCAAGTAAAGGTATAGGATATCCCCCACCTTGGGTTTAGAGAGCACAGGGGGTGAAGATAAGTACCGTTTTAGTTCCTCGAAAGCCACCTGACATTCTGAAGTCCATTGGAAACCGGCGGTTTTTCTCATGATCTGGAAGAAGGGTAAGGACTTCTCCGCCGATTTTGATAAGAAACGATTGAGGGCTGCCAGGCGGCCCGTCAATCGTTGGACCTCCTTTACGTTGCGTGGGGGCTCCATGTTGATGATGGCCTGGATCTTCTCGGGGTTGGCCTCGATACCCCTTTGGCTCACCATGTAGCCCAAGAATTTTCCCCCCTGAACGCCGAAGGTACACTTCTTTGGGTTCAGCCAAAGGCTAAACTTCTGCATGATGGCGAATATCTCCCTCAGGTCGTCAGCATGGCTTGCTGATTGCTTGCTCTTGACGATCATGTCGTCAACATATGCCTCCATGGTGCGCCCTAGGACAACTTGAAATACCCTGGCCACCATCCGAGTGTAGGTGGCGCCTGAGTTCTTCAGGCCGAAGGCCATGACAAGGTAGCAAAAGATGCCCTCGGGAGTCATGAAGGCTGTTTTTTCAGCGTCTCCCTCATGCATAAATATCTGATGATATCCGCAGAATGCGTCGAGGAATGACATGATTTCGCACCCCGCGGTTTCATCCACAAGTTGATCAATATTCGGCAAAGGAAAGGGGTCCATGGGACACGCCTTGTTGAGATCCGTGTAGTC